TATTTCCTGACTCTTTCAATGCAGTCATAACTTTGTACTAGTACATCTGAAGCAATATCTTTTTAATAGGTTAGCGCAAGACAACGATCAGGAGATAAAGTACTAAGCCAAAGTATTAAAGTGGAAGTTTATGCCCCGCCAAGACTTCATCCACAAGGAATATTTCTTGTTCCTGGTGCTTCTTACGTGGTATGATGGAAATATACATATATAATTTTGTTTGGTACAGCCATCTTTATTTTTGTTGTTCTCTCTTGATTTTTGTGCTGATCAGCTTTTTGTTGCCTTATATAGCTCACTGTTGAAGGAGGCCCAACCATGAATGTTTCTGTTGACTACACAACCGTGGATAACAAAGTTGCAAAGATAGAAGAATCAGGACGTCTCTATGCAACATCACCCGGTAACACGGTGCGGGAACAATGTTTTTCGAATATTCCTTGTCTTTTCAATATTAGTCTGATACAGCAGAAGTGGATTTGGCTATTAATTCATTTCCAACCAGACTTTTGGAAATATGTAAACTCAAAAGATATGGCACTTTGACCTGATTTCTTTGATGACCAGACAATCTATGCGAAAATATATGGGAGTGAAGGTACTGTAGTTTGTCAGGCAGTTGGCAATGCCGAAGTAGGTCTTCCTGCTACTGCAATACTGATAGCTCAAAGTGACACCGTGGCCGTTGGCCATGAAATGCCTATATCTCCATCATTTCCTGAGGTGAGAATCATAAGCCAGAAAGAATTTGGTGCTTATTAACTCTTCTGGAATCTTTTCTCAGTTGCAAAAGAGTGACTTTTTTTCATACTATCAGGGGGATCTTTTGTCTTTTTATGAGCTTTGCAGAGAATATAGGTGGACTATCGAAGATGAGGAGGTTCATTTCACTGTTCACCTTATCCTTTAAATAGTAATCTATTTTATTTTCATTTTCTATGTTAATGACAGATAACTCTGTTTTTCCATTTTAAGGTGTTAAGTTTCCATGCATCCTCCATTGACGTGGAAGAGAATGCTGGCTTTATTAATGTCGTTGAAGGAAGGTAAATTAAGATTATTACATGTGCTCTAGCATCTACATCGTAAATGCGAACCATTGTCCAATCATTATTAATTAGCAGCTTATCTTTTCCATTGCAGATCAGCTGGCAAAACCAGGGTCACAATTGCCTTCTCATGCGATTTCGTGTCTCCTGGCTTGTACTCTGAATCTAGAACATATGAAGCGTCAATGATATTATCCGTTGTGCCTGATCTCCCTCTTTCTCTTGGTGTTCCTATGACATGGGTTCTTCCGCCTTTTTATACGTCATCTAGCCTATTGCCTTCATCTCTTGAGCCACTGAAGCACCGGGATGGTCAAAGTCACAGAGTCAATATAGTATATTCCATATTGAAAGACTGTAGTTCTCGGGCTGATTTTGAACGAGATACCATATCGATAAATGGCCAAAGCGTCAAAACAACAGATAGCGACAATGTTGCATGTATTCAGGCTAAAGACCGCACAAGTAGAAGGATTGAGATTGCTGCGTGTGTGAGAGTTGCAGAGGTATTTTGAATCTGTGGAACTATCCTTCAGTAGCGAGGCTAGTTGTCTGCTCTAGTTTCCAGCCACTCAGATTCGCTATTTTTCTTTATTAGTTTCTTGCATCATTTGTTGGTAACGCAGAATTTTATCAGGTTGCTCAAATAAGAATGAAGAGTGAGAGAATTCCGTTACATGTGATTGATCTTGCTGTTGGCGGTGAACTGGAACTTCCAATAAGTTACTATGACACTTTAGGTAACGCTCTCATACTTTTATGTGCATCCTTTGTTTTCTTGATCTATTTGCTTCTTCTTTTATTTAACATCGTTGTCGTTTTTTTTCCGTAAAGGAATCGCTTTTCTCGAAGCACATGGTGTTACTACATACAATGTGGAAACCAATCATCGTGATATTGTATCCATTAAAACTGTCAATGACCAAACAAGTGTCTACATCAAGGTGCGTTGATCCTTATAATAAACTTTTAGTGATACATGCGGCGCTGATATAACAGAATCTGTCAAGATAGTTTATTCATGTTGGTTAAGAAGTCTTCTCCTTGGCATAGAGTCTATCTTTTGTCTGTTCTGACTTTCATGGTTACTAACTATATGCTTCTCTCCAATCTCATTGTCTTTATAATGAAGGGAATGAAACATGGCAAAGCTCTTATTCGAGTATCGATTGGCGATAACGTCAGGAAAGTAGACTACGTTCTGGTATGAGCTATGTCATCTATATTGTTATCCAACATTTTATAAAGATCGGTTCCATTGCCTGGTAGCTGGTTGTGTAGCTATACTTAAAATTTCTTATGATATCTGCAATTGGCTATATCACAGGTTTTTTTTTTTTTTTTTGGTTTTTCAGGTTTCAGTTGGAGCGCATATCTATCCTCAAAACCCGGTCATTCACACTGGAAGTTCGTTAAATTTCAGCATAACTGGTAAAATGTCAAATCAAATCCACATGTTTAAGCCATTTTATGCCCGTCCTGGTGAACAACACATCTCTTACAAAATCTAAGACACTTGAAATGTTATATAGGGGCAGATCATCACGTCTCTGGACAGTGGGTTACGTCCAACAGAAGTGTCCTCTCTGTCAATGTGGCATCCGGCCAAGCAGAAGCGATTAGCCAAGGCTCAGCTCACGGTAATATCAATTTATCTTTTCAATTGTATTTTTAGGGAACAAAGAGATATTCTCTATCCCGTTGCTGATCCTGTATTGCATCTGCATAGTTACATTTGAAGGTCATGGTTTGAAACTGCAAACAAAAGCCACAGTGCTACCTGGAAACACCATATATATTGACTATCCTAGAGAAACACTAACAAATGTCCACGTCCCTGCGGAAGGATATAGATTTCCTGTGAAATTCAGGTATGTAATCTTTTAATTTTGCTTTTAGTTAACATATAGATACACTTATTTGCTAATGATGAGATAAAATGCAACAGGGAAAATGGAAACAGGGCCATGTTTAACTGCCATATAGACCCTCCATTTATAGGGTATTGATGCTTACTTTCTTGCAGTGAATTTCTGCGTATGTATGTACAAAATATGCATGGTTTTGTTTTGACTCTCATTTTTCTTGGATTTAAGATATGCAAAGCCATGGGTGGATCTTGATACTGGCAACAGTTATTGCCTTTTCTTCCCATACTCACCGGAGCATCTGGTTCACTCAGTGTCTAAATCAAAAGACATGAAACCCCATGTGTCCTTCTCCATTAATGCTTCACTCAAAGAAGCTCGTCATGTTTCGGGATCAGCATCTGCACTTCTCATTGGAGGGTTTTCTGTAACATGGCCAACTAATAAGGTTATTAAATTTCTTAATTCCTTTCCATTTCTTGAAACTTTCGCTATTCAGAGGTTATATTTCCGAATATGTTGCTTTATGCAAGTTTGACTTGGAAATATCTTGCAGCTAAATGTAAACCCGGATTCAAACAAGACCACAATTTCGATACTGGGGAACACCGGTAAAATCCATATATCAATTGTTAGTTCGTTTTATTTTTCGTTTGAGGAGATGCAAAGGACACTTAAAACTACTCATCGCAGATGTTCAAATTAACTGGCGCAACAGAGGTAGGTTATCGATCAACTTGATCAAGAGAGAAGATTATGGTATCGCAGGGCGTGCACTGTACGAGGTGATTTCTCACTTGAAAACCCTAATTATAAGCTCGGTAACTTAATCTATCCGATAAAAAAACAACAATTTTGTAAGCTATCGATATTCATCAACCTTTTTTCAGGTCAATGTGCTAAGATCATCAGAGCAATTCACAGATATCATACTCATCACTCTCCCTGCCACTGGTGAGCTTATAGAATATATACTGTTTCATGCTGTAGAAAAAGGCACTGTTTCATGTTGTATTAACTGTTTTTGCAGGCCAAACTGTAGAAATCGATTTCTCCTACGACACGAGCGAGTCCCTAGCAGCGCCGTCTCAGAGAAAAGATGGATACTCGTTTTTGTTCAAGATGCTATGGGGTGTATTAGTGGTGATTCTATCGGTGATCATCTTGATGAAAGTGATAGATAGACCAATTGGTCCAGCAGGAGGAGCCAATAGGGCTGGGAAAAACGTTGTAGCAGCAGCAGCAGGAGCACCGGTGACACCGGAAAGAAGAAGCAGTGCGGTTATATACCATGAGGAATCTCCAAGAACACCATCACCTTTTATGGAGTATGTGAAGAGGACTGTGGATGAAACTCCTTATTACAGAAGAGAAGGAAGGAGGAGGTTTAATCCTCAAAACACTCTGTAGAAAATTTTGTTATGAGTTGTAAGCTCTGTTTTATTGTTTGTAATCCACCAAAACCTTAGGCAATGTTTATATAACTTGTGCATTGTTGTTATTCTTTGATCATTACAGTTTGAATTGGATTCGTAATTTGCCTGATATAGGCCGGCTATTTGTTTTTTTTGTTGAGAACTTTTAATTAGGGGTCTTATTTGATATGAAATTCGATGTGATTTGAGGTTCACAGAAAATTATTTGATTAAGGTTCACATTAGCAAGTATGTTTTAAAAGTTTTGATAGGCTTCTTTATTGTTTAAAGCCTTTTTCCGATCTTTTCCATCTTGCTTTCGACACAAGTAAGTCATGTTCATCAATTTTTAAAGATAATATGTCTATGTGAATGTTTCCTTGCTCGTGTCTTGTATGGTTCTCTGGCTTAAATTGTCTTTAGTTGTATTGTTCTTTAGCTAAAATGACCAATTATGTATATTCTTAGAATTTGATTATGTGTTTCGAAACTAATGGCATCTTTGGGAGTTTAGCACATAAGACTATAATAGGTCTACAAAATATTCTGTATATGTATTTGTCCATGTGTTCCATAGATGCAAATCAAGCATTTTTAGTGTTTTTTTCATGTAATGGTAAACTATAAAAAATAAAACCTATAACAATCATTTTTGATTGGGCCAGTTTGAAGCCCATTAGTCACGTCATCATCTTCCTCGTTTTTATATCTAGGGTTTGTTTTCAGAAGAGGTTTTGAGCGGCCGCCTAAACCGCCGAACCCAATTAAAACCACGGCGTAGGAACACTGATCTTCTCTTTACCCTAATTTCCTTGAAATTGCTCTCGCAAGTCTAGAATCACCCGTAGGTTTGTCACGCAAAATCTCAAATCTTCTTTCTCTCTTTTCATTCTCCTTTTTTTAATTATCTCATTCGATTTGTTCCGTTATGATTATCTTATTGTTGAAATCTGTTTTTTTTTTATAAAGGGTAGTTATTGTTAGAATTTGCGCGATAAATTATCCGAAAATCTTCCTGCTTTCATCTTATGACGAATTTTGAGCGAAACCAACAATTAGATAAAAACTGAAACTTTTCTCTCTACTTAGTATTGTTTATGAGTAAAACTTATTTATGGGGAAATACCTGACTAGTTGTGTTTTATGGTCAGTTTTTGTGGGTTTAGTTTCAGTTTTATGTCATAAAGTTCGCTCCTTTTGATCTATGATTCCTCTGTGTTCTTCTTATAGGGATCTTTAAGGAGGAGACGAAATGAGATTGACCAATTGTTGGTTTTGTTCTTCAACAATATATCCTGGACATGGTATTCAGTTTGTCCGCAACGATGCAAAGGTAATTTAATCATGAATGGACGAGAAACACTGTTGCTTGAGTTTCACATTGGTTTGTATGGTCTTGAAAAGCTTTGATATGTTCCTGCTTTGTACTCACAAATAAGCTCTGCACATCAAATTTTCTTTGATTCTATATATCTTGTTGCTCGTATCTTGTATGGTTCTTTAGCTCAAATTACCATTTTTTGATATGTATCTCTATTTTTGGAGTTTATCTATTTACTCTTGAAAACTCAGTGTCTATTCGTTCGGTTTAAGTGGTTATTGGAATTTTGTATATAAGAGATCTAGTACAAGTATATCATTGGTGTTTATCGGTTTACTCAGACAAGCACTCTCTTTAGTCTTGTTTTCTAATGCATATTGTGATTCAGTTATAAGCAATACTTTCTTCTCCCTCTGCAGATTTTCCGGTTCTGTAGGTCTAAATGCCACAAGAACTTTAAGATGAAGAGGAACCCGCGTAAAGTAAAATGGACTAAAGCATTCAGAGCCGCACATGGAAAGGACATGACTAAGGTACTACGAATTGATTTGATCAAAACTCTTTCAGCAAAGGAATTTATAATTTATCGTAGGTAATGATCACGCTTGTCTTTTTTCCTGTGTGTTTCCTTTCCACAAAAGGATAAAACTTTTGAGTTTGAGAAGAAGAGAAACAGACCCGAGAGATATGACAGGAACGTTACAGAGAACACGCTCAATGCCATTAAGAAGATTGATAAGATCAGAAGCGCAAGAGCAGCCGATCATATCAAAAAGAGGTCAATTCAATATTTCTCGTCCCTAACCTCATTCACCTCATTCAGATCCTTGAAATTAGACTCTTGTTGTTGATTATGATTGGTTTTTTGTTATTTGTGTGGGACTTAGGTTGAAGCCAAACAAAAAGAAGATAAACGATGATGCACTTGGTGAGATTGATCAACACATTAACTTGATCAAGGCACCAGACGCTCTCCAACAAGATTCAGAGAAGAAGAAGAAAGTTTTGGTCTCCAAAAAGAAGTCTGTTCAAAACGAAGCCATGGAAGAGTGATTCTGTGGAAACATTAAAATCCATTTCAAAGATATCCACTCACTCTTGAAGCTGTTCACCAAAAAGCCAAAAAAGTTTTGTTTTTTTTGTACCGATAACAGGACTTTAGATTGTTTTTCATTTTGGATTGTATTATTATGCTACTTGATAGAAGGGAAACAGACTTAAGACTTAAGAAAGTAATGTCATGCCTCTCTTCTTTGGTGGTGCTTTGGTTAATTTCATTCTAATTATGCTAAACTATAAGATCTTGGTTTGATATATTATATATATATATATAAATACTCAAATTGTTTCATTTCTTTCCATTAATAGAGTGGAAAAGTATTTTGCAAAAAACAAAAAACAAAAAATACAATAGAAAAGTATTATTCATTTTGTTTGAAGAAGAAAAAAAAGTCATCAAAGCTTTAATCATTTGAAGATAATAAATATTGAGAATATTACGCCATCTTGATGAGAAAGTTATAGAATCATGAACATGAATAGATTTGATGGTATTATATTATTAATGAAACATGCGCTAATCTTTTTATTTTTCTTCTTGTTCCTTCAGTTATACAAACATCATTTTACTCTTTACCCCCCAATTCAAAAGAACGTGAACTTGATGAAAGCTAGTTCACATGTATTGTTTGTCAAAGACCAATTAATACGAGAGTAGAAATGTAAATTTGGATGTGCTTCATTTTCTGCAGAATTATAGGCTTACTACTTTACAGGCTTTTGGCTTTGATGAACGATGGATCAAGTGGATTATGGCAACAGTCAACACTGTTGAATACTCTGTTTTAATTAATGGAACTCCCCAGAGTCGAATAGTTCTAGGCTTGAGGCAGGGAGATCCTTTATCTACTTACCTCTATATACTATGTGCAGATGTTCTTAGCCATATGATTCAAAATCACCATGACGCAGGCAAAATCAGGGGAATAAAGATCGGCAATGGAGTTCCTGCTATCACACATTTATTATTTGCAGATGACTCGTTGTTTTTCTGTCAAGCAAATAATAAAAACTGTAAGGCACTTCAAGAAATCTTCAGAGTGTATGAATCATGGTCTGATTAACAAATAAATCCATCAAAGTCAACAATTACTTTTGGAAGCAGAATTCCAGGTGATCTTCAAGAGCGGTTAAAAAGAATCCTCGGCATTGATCAAGTTGGTGGTGGTGGAAAATATCTCGGTTTACCGAAACAGTTTGGACGCAAGAAAAATGAGATGTTTGAGTACATTATAGACAGAGTAAGACAAAGAACATCTAACTGGAGTGCTCAGTTCTTATCTCAAGCTGGAAAGGAAATATTGATCAAATCGGTCGGAATATCAATGCCAGTATTCTCTATGTCATGTTTTAAGTTGCCAGTTCATATCACAGATGAAATAAGCAGTTTATTAATGAGTTTTTGGTGGGAAAAGGGGGATCAGCAAAAAGGTATTCTATGGATTGCTTGGAAGAGATTGCAATTTTCAAAAAGAGATGGTGGTATTGGCTTTAAAGATTTGGCTCTTTTTAATGATGCGTTGCTTGCAAAACAAGCTTGGCGTCTATTAAAATATCCAAATTCGCTATTTGCACGTTTGATGAAGGCTAGCTATTACAGAGATTCAAATATCCTTGAGACAAAAAACAGAGCTAATCAGTCTTATGGATGGAAATCTATAGTTTATGGCATTGAACTTTTAAAGAAAGGAGTTACTCATATTATTGGAGATGGTGAAAGGACTCGAGTTCAAACAGACAATTGGCTTTTAACACCTAAACCACGACCAGCAAGATTGCAAGTGCCAAATGAGGATCTATGTGTTAGCTCTCTGATTTCCAGAGTTAACAATAGAAGACAATGGGATATTGAAAAGATCAATGAATTGGTTGTTGCGGAAGATAGAGATTTGATTACAACTCTATACCTTTGTCAACAACAAAAAAGTGATCGCATAGTCTGGAGCTTGGAAAAATCAGGAGAATACTCGGTTAAAAGTGCTTATTGGCTTGCTTTCAATGAAGCAAGATCTCAGAATCCAGATATAACTATACCCCATGGAGACCCGCTTTTGAAATTGCAGATATGGAATTCGCCTATCATGCCAAAAATAAAGCATTTTCTGTGGTGAATCTCTTCACGAGCTATTGGTGTTGCAACTAGATTAAATACAAGAGGAGTCAATTTAGACTACCAATGTCAACGTTGCTGCTCTGCTCCAGAAACGATTCTCCATACCTTCTTCACATGTCCTATTTCCCTCATGATCTAAAGATCATCTTCCTCCCTTTGGAAACCAAATATTTTGCATAATCACGATGTTGATGACTTATTAAGGAGCATTGATTTACAAAGCAATCCACGTCTCACTGCGTCTCAAAAAATGCTCCATTTCTGGATCTTATGGCGAATTTGGAAATCAAGATGCAACTTAATTTTTTGAAAGATACGCGTTTGTCCGCTTCAGGTCAACAAGGATGCGGAAATTGATGTCTCACAATGGCTCACGGCAACAGTTCATGGAACTTCCCACTATAATTTAACTGCAACTTCCAAAGCTTGCTTAAAATCTTGGACATGTCCACCTTTTGATATGTTCAAATGTAACTTTGATGCCAGTTTTAACTTGAACAACAATAACTCTTTGGCGGGATGGATTGTAAGAGATCACAAAGGAATACCCTCTTTCTGGGGAGCTTCACTCATGGGATTGGGAACAACACCTTTAGAAGCAGAAGCCAAAGCTCTACTAACAGCTATGCAACATACTTGGACGTCAGGACTAAGGAATATTGTTTTTGAGGGAGACTGCAAATTCTTAATCGATGTTCTGAATGGCAAATCTGAAAATTATCAAATCTCAAACATCTGTTCTGATATCCTTCACTGGAAGCACTTGTTCCTCAAATGCATATTCATGCATACTTCAAGAGAGAATAACACTCCGGTACATCTCTTAGCTAAACATGGTCCTCCTAATAATCTGTTTTATTCTGCAAAAACTTCTCCACCTTTGTGGTTGTCAAATGCTGTATTCAAAGATTGTAATTTTTACCATAATCAATAAGTCTGTTTGTTTGCTGAAAAAAAAAAACTACTATTGATACCAATTTGCATGATAGAAGGATTGAATGAATAAAAACATAAATAACTTCATTGAAAGGTAAAACAATTTTTTCTTTCTCTACTTTCAGGATCTTTTTCATAAGTATCATTTAATATATACTAGATTCTAACCCCGTGCGTCCGCACAAGAATTTTTTGTTTTTTTTCTAATATAATTTGTATTTAGTTTTTTTTTGTTTAGATATAAGTTATTTTTATTATTTTTTTACTTTCTTAAATCAAGAATATTCATTTTTTAATTTTTCAAATATGAAAAATTAATAAGAATGAGATGTGTTAAGCTTTTCATCATCCCGGTGTCGAGCTATTTTTTTGTAGGACATTTTTTGTTATCAAGTTTTAACTTTAAATAGTATAGATTTGTATATTAGTAGAATAAGAATATGAGTTAATTAAGTATATTTCGATCTAATGTTAATTATAAATTTTGTTATTATGTGATTTTAATTATGTAAATTTAATTATGTAATTTTAGTTATGTGAATTTACATATAAATAATCTATATATCTATAAATTGGCTAATATATCCGTTTAGTTGCCTTAAATCATTTTTTAATATCTTACATGTTTTTAAAAACTAACTTGTATAAGAATGTAATTATAAATGCATAACCCGAATCTGCTCTATCATATTATTATAATATAAAAATATTTACTAATATTGAATATTTAAAATTTTAAGCCAATGATTACGATAAAATATAATAAGATATTCAAGTACCATTTTTGTTATTATAAAAATAGATATATCTATAAATGGGCTAACTTGTTCATTTAATTACCTCAAATCATCTTAATATCTTACATGTTTTAACAAACTAACCCATATAAGACCTGAAGTATAATAATACATAACCTTAATCAGTTCTATCATATTATTGTATAATATAAATAATTATTTATTTTAAATATTTGATATTTTAGACCGTTTGATTATGATAAAATACAATAAGATTATGAAAGTACAATTTAAATTTAAAATTTAAATTAAATTTAACCTATATTTAAAGAATTCTGAAGTAATTAAAATTATTACCTAAATTTTTTAAATAAAATTTAATTATAATTTTTTGAATTTTAAATTAAATTAAATCTAAATTTTCGTAATTAAATATAATTACTAAAAATCTTGAATAATTTGAAATTTAATTAAATATGACCATATTTAAGGAAATTTAAAAATATCTAAATTAATAACTAATTTTCGAAATTAAATATCAATATAAAAGAAATGTTTTAAATTAATTATCACCTATATTCAAGGAGAATATAAAAATATCTAAATTAATACTTAATTTTCGGAATTAAATATATATAAAATAAAATATTTTTTATAAAACTTTGGGAGTGTTTGGAATCAAGCACTAAAAGTGCTTGTGTTTTAATATAATAGATACTAGATTTTACCCCGTGCATCCGCACAGGATTTTTTTTTAATCAAAATTTATGATATTATTTATGTTTTCTTTCTAGATATATTTTTTTAATAAATAACAAAGATTTATTTTTGTGTTTAGATATAATTTATTTTTTAAATTTTTATACTATATTATGACCATGATCATAACAACATAATTCTAACCCGATCATTCTATTAATCGAAAAAGACCGTTATTATAAAAATATATTTTTAACTCATTCATTCTATTAATCCGAAAAAACTGTAGTTACTAAACCATAATTCTATTTCTAACCCATCTGTCATATTACTTTATAATATAATTATTTACTAATTTTGAAATAATATTTATCTTAATATCTTGCATGTTTTGAATATAACACTGCAATTATAAAAAAAACTTAATCCACTCCATGAAATTACCATATAATATTAATATTTATTAGTTTTCAATATGTAAAATTTTACTCTGATTGAATATGATTAAAAAATACAATAAGGTATTCTCTTAATCATATTTGTTTTTCTAAAAATATTATTTAAATTTTCAAATGTTAAATTAAATCTGACCTATAATAAAAGAAGTATAAAATAATTTAAATTAATATCATTTTTTAGAATTAAATTTAATTACAAAAACAGTTTGAATTTTAAATTAAATATGACCTATATTTAAGGAAATATTTAATTATCTAAATTCATATCTAATTTTCGGATTTGTT